TCTAATTAACGAAGTGAGAAGTTTGTAAAAATCCTACGTAATGGGTATACAAAAGAAATAAATTATTATTATATATAGTTAATATTTCAAAGAGCAAAATGAGCAATTATTTATAATAAAAATTGAATAAAAATAAATAATTCTTTACTAATTTTAAACAAAAAAAGACACAAAAAGTTAAATAATTATTATTTAACAACAAATTTTAGATCAAATTAATTTTTATTTAAAATTGGATTTTTTAAAACTTTTGTTATAATCAATTTTAATTATAGTATTATTTATTGTAAAAGAAAATTTTTTAATTTAGTATTACGTTTGTATGGATTGAACATATATTTAAAAAGTTGTTAAATGACATTTTGTCTAAAATAATTTTTTTTTTTTATTAAAAATTATTAAGTTTGTTTATATAATTATTAACAACTTTCATCTATTATTATTATTTTTTTATTGTGATTGAAATTGCGATCATTTGCGGTGTGTATATAGAATTCAGGGAATTCAGTGATATAAAAGTGAAAATAAAATCGAGAATGTCAGACACGTATCGTGAAAATTTGTATGTAGTGGTGGGGGGGAGGGACGAAATAGAAAGGGTCGGCCCTTTAAATGGGGTGACTTATAGAGAGAAGAAAAATAAGTTTCAGTATTGTCGGAATTGTGCCCAAGAGAGGTTCGTGCGTGTATATATATAACATAGAAAATTTTCCCTCCAATTTATAGTAAACAGAAACGTTTGATGTCCTGAAACCCTCGATTCCCAGAAAGGCCATTGCACTCGGGCCAGACATTTTTTCGGGAATTAAGTAGTACAGATAAACGAAAAATCCGACAAGCCGATTTAGTTGAAGAGTTCAACACTGCCGCACAGTGACATAGGTCATTGAGTTGTTTGTGTCCGTCCAAAGAAGACGTTCCTTCACTGTTATTCCTTCTTCCCTTTACGTACTTATTTATATATATAGTTTTAATTCTCGATGTCATTCATTGCCTCATGTCGGAAGTGGTAATATCAATAATTTTTCATCCGAGTCACGTGTCTATGAAACATATTTAATGTAATTTTTACATAAACGCGGGAATTATTTGAATTAATTTTTTTCTCGTGTGTGTGTGTTTTTCTGATTTTTTTACTTCTAATTGTGTTTAAGTGATTTTTAAAAAAAAAACCAAACAAGATGATGGCCATTTATAGATGTCCAGGCTACTGCAATAATTGTTCTAAAGTGAAACCTATGATAAGAAGAGGTAAATTTTTTAGTATATATGCGAAAACATTATTTAATTAATTTAAATTTTAATATGGTTACAGCATATTTAAATAATTTGCTTTCTTAATTGAACGAAAAATTTAATTAAAAATTTTAATCAAATTTATGTAAATTAAAATAAGAAAAATTTTCCTCCCTTTTTTTTTATTAAAATTACTATTTTTAAACACAGTATTTACCTTTAAGGTGTAAAATTTATTTTTCAATGTCTTCATAAAAATAAATATATATATATATATATAATTTTCTGTAAATAAAACTATAATTCTTCTCATAATGTAATTAATTATGTAATATTATTGATTATTTTATTATTGAATAAATTCTATCTATATATTTTTTTAAATAATTCTAGTGATAAATTTTTCTATATTTCGTTAAATTATTTTTTCCAATGAAAATAAAAGATAAAATTAATTAACTATATCCATTTGTAATTTATTTTGTTTGATCGTGCTAAAATTAATGACGCGGATAAATTATATTTTTATAATTTCACATTACAATTTGTAACATTTATAAATAACTGAATAAATAAAAATTCGAAATTTCGGATTTTATTTGTTTCTTTTTCCTCGAAAAACAACAAAATATCGAAATTTGATATACTTTTGTTTTTTTTTATTTATTTTATCGCGGCTTCATTACTTGATAATCAGTTTTAGAGTCTAGTTTCATGTCGAAAAAAAAATTTGAATATTCATTTACTTTTTCTTTAATAATTTATATAGTAGTATTATAATCATTATAATTTGATTATATGTTAAAGTGATTTTGCTAATTAAAGATTTTTTAGCATTTTTTTTTTTTTATTAAAATGGCAACTTCTATTAGAAGAGCGAGGCTCGTCATCAAAAAACGTTACAGTGAGTTCGTTGCATTTTACTGTGGAATTATTATATACATATTTTAGTGAAAATTGAAAAATGTTGAAATCGTCTTTTTCATATTTAAATGAAAATTTTTTAAATATTCTATATTGTTTGCTTTGAATATAAAACATTTTGTCAGTTTTAGTTTTCATGGAATGTTTCTCATGAAATTGAAATTGACTATTTTTATTTTCTTTGACTACAAATTCTTAATCATATTCTTTTGAAAACCCATTGTGTGGGATATTTAAATTTTTTTTTCAAAATAAGTTTTTTTATTCTCTGCGATGCTTGAGAAAATTTTTTGATTATTCTTTTCCTTTCCGTAATTTTTATGGTAAATTTTGAAAACTAAAACTTTTTTTTTTAAATCTGAATTTTATTTCAAAAAAATAAATTCGTAAATTCTATCTAAAATATTGGTTTAATTAATAAATATGTAATTTTTATAATAATAGTGTAAAATTTCAGTGACGTTATATATAAGCGCAGTGTTTATCGTAATTTTTCGAAATATTGAAATAAAATTATAATCAAAATTTCATTGTGTGACTTTTTAACGAATAATATGCATAATCATTATTTTCTTTAGATTTCAGGGTTTTGTATGCAATTTAAATTAAAAATAACATTCTTATCAATGACTATAAATCTTGATAAAGCGTTACAGGAGGGATATAAATTTTTTAATTTTAATTGAGGGTTAACATGTGCTGACAATTTAATTACATTGGAGTAATTAATATTTTTTTTATCTAATCACATTTTATAAAAAAAAAAAAATTTTAAGTTCAAGGACTCGTTTAAGTAAAACTATTGTTTTACTTAATTTCAATTTAATTTTTTATAATTAAAATCTGAGAAACATATTGAATAATTAAAAAAGACAGAGAGAGCGAGAGATAGAAATTTTAACTGATAATGAACATAATTTTTCTATTATAAAGAAATTATTCAAATATGATTTTTTTTTTTTTTTAATTGTAAAAAAAATATGATTCTTTTTCTGTCAATCAACTTATGGGGGTTGATTTTTCGAACCCTGAAAGTCTTTAAGATATCCACCTGGACTTTTCCCCTTAAAATTAATCCATCGCTTATCTCTATGAGCGTCTAATTACACGCGATGCATCATGCCTTATCTCAATTGCACGTACGTGCAACGAGAGCTATCTGCAAGAAGGGGAAATTTCATTTCATTTTCTCTTTTGTCTTAAAATATCAAACCGTCACGCACCCGGAATAATTCTTTGAAATTTTTTTTTTACAAATCCTTTTCTGCAATAAATCTAAATATTACAGATTTTTCCAAAAAGAGAGAATTTTTTTTCGTTAAAAATAAAAATAAATAAATTCTTCATTTTTTTTTTATTAAATCCAATAATATTAAAGCATATTACTATGTTTGAAAATAGCGGTTATTTTAAAAGCTGTTATTATAATTTAAAATATTAAAAAAAAATCATTGAAATTACAATTTTTCGAAATATTATTAATGTATTTTTATATTCCACTGTTTGCTTAATGGATTTTCAAATTGTTTTAACCTATGCAACACTTAATTAAAAAATACATTTAATTAAAGAAGAATTTGTTACAATAATTAAATAATTAAAATATTGTTTTTATAAATTTGTTCGTTTGTATAATTTGCGTTATGTAAATCTAAAAATATCCAACTTATGTAAACATCTAAGGTGAACACAGAATTAAAGAAATAAATACTGATAATAAAACTTACGATTTCTTAAAATTATTATTGTTATTATATAATTAATTAAAGTTATTATTTAACTATTTACTATTATAATTCAATATTGTTATTTTATTAATTTATACTATTTTTATTGTGTATAATTAAAATATTTCAGTTTTCGCGAAAGTCAACTCGTTATTGATTTTAGTATTTAATTTTTTTCTTTTTGATTTTTATTTTAAAATATAATTCTTGTATTTTTTTTTTTTTTTATTATACCAACTAACGATAGTACGAAAATTTTCAACAAAAAAAAAATGTCACTGTGCTTTTCTTTAAAATAAAAAAAATTGCATCCTCTTTCAAAGCTTCTGCTATTAAAAGCACCGTGACAATTTTAATTGGATAGTCGGTATCGAATGTAATTTTTGAATTTCATCATTTCCGGAATCCCTCTGCTGATAGGATTTATTTATTTTTTTCATTCTTTTTTTGTTTTTTTTTTCTTTGTAATATAACGACACACTCCATGTTGAAAATTTGCATTTTAATTAGGCAAATCCTCAGTACGGGAGTTTTTTTTTTATTCCCTTTTGTTAAATTTTTCGATAGTGTAAGCTTGCACAGTTGATTGAAACGAGCAAATATATATGTATAAATTTTCTTTTGATCAAAATAAACGAACATCACATTGAATTCTGAGAGCTTGAAATCAAACTTGGATTTTATAAATCTGTTTAAATTTTAATTACACATTGCATACACAAAAACTGTGTATAGAAGAAATTTTTAATTTTCCCATTGTTTTTAAATTCTACTTTTTTTACTTTTCTATATTTATTATTTCTTCATATTTCAAATTTCTAAAGTTTGCATTTTTATTGTACTTAAAAAATCTTGACATTTTCTTCTGCAACTGCATTCTATTTCTATTTAATATAAAATTTGATTAGCACGAAAATTAATAAAACATGTAATTATTTTGAAATGTAATTTAATAAAAAAAAATGTTATTTATAAAAAATTTAATTATAGTAAAGAATTGAAATAGTGGAAAATTTAATTCATGTTTTTAAAATAATTATTATTCGAGAAATATTTCTTTTTTAAAAATTTTATTTCCCATTTTGTTAATTTTTTTGATTTTTTTTGTTACAGGCAAATCTCCATTCTTTCCAAGTCTCGATGAACAGGGAGGTAATCTTTTAGATGATCCTACTGGACAATTGGATGGGATTGGTGTTGGTGTAGGAGTTGGTATGAATGCACCACAAGCTGCACCACTTTCATCTCCAAGCCGAAGCAGTCCTCACAGTCAGGGAAGTGAAACTGGCGAACGATTTTCAAGAAAAGTCTTCGTCGGCGGTCTCCCACCAGATATTGACGAAGGTAATTGAATTTTTATCATTTTTAGACAACATTTTTGCACATTATTTTCTATATTATTCGTTTAGTATAAAAAAAAATAGAATTTTTTTAATTTAAATTTTCGTATAGTAAAATTTTTACATGTATTTGTGAAAAAATTCTTATTTAAAATAGTTGATGGTTAATTTTTTTTTTTTTTTTAATTATATTTTACAGATGAGATCACAGTCAGTTTTCGTCGCTTCGGGCCTTTAGTCGTTGATTGGCCTCACAAAGCTGAAAGTAAATCCTATTTTCCACCAAAGGGCTACGCTTTCCTGTTGTTTCAGGTATGTAGTATCCAATTTTTATTTAAGTTAAATAATTAAAATGAACTTCAGATTAATGCAATTTGAATTTAATTGAATTATTCTAATTTTTATTATTATTGTTTTTTTATTTAGAAGAAAATTTGTCTGAAAAAATATTAAATGAAATATTAATTAATTTTTTAACTGTTTTAATTTTAGGACGAAAGTTCGGTGCAGCAGTTGATTGACGCGTGCATTCAGGACGATGACAAACTATACCTTTGCGTCAGTTCACCAACAATCAAGGACAAACCAGTGCAAATTCGACCTTGGCGCTTGAGCGACGCGGACTTTGTGCTTGACGCTTCAATGCCACTCGATCCACGAAAAACAGTTTTCGTTGGTGGGGTACCGCGACCTTTGAAAGCTGTTGAACTCGCAATGATCATGGATCGATTGTACGGCGGTGTTTGTTACGCTGGAATCGATACTGATCCAGAATTAAAATATCCCAAAGGAGCTGGAAGGGTAGCTTTCAGCAATCAACAAAGTTATATTGCTGCCATCTCGGCACGATTTGTTCAGCTACAACACGGCGACATCGACAAGAGGGTGAGAAATTCAATTCTCTTCAGGCCAACTTGTTAATACAAATTAAATTCCCGAAAATATCGACATTTCATAAAAAAAAAAAAATCCACGATTTTCGTATTTTCTTCATTTTTATTTTTCCAAATCTTTTTCTCCCAATTTAAAAATTTTTCATTAATTTTAAATAAAATATTATTTATTCCCCTAAAATGAAAATATGAAATTAATAAAAATGCAAGTAAAAAAATACAGAAAAATTTAATTATTAAATATAAAAAAATTTTTTTAATTCTATTTTAATTTCTCAATTGATTGAATAATAAAGAAAATAAGGAAAAATCGAATTTCGAGGTATAATAATACAGTTGACCCTATTTAAATATCATCTTTTTTATGTTCGAAACCATAAATAGATGTTTTAGACGCATAAATATAAATTTACAAGTGAAATCAGAAAAAAAAACATAGTTCCTTTGAGCTTTTACTGCGATATTATCTCCCGTAACAGGATTTTAAAATATTTTTAGAACCATTCTTATACCATATATACAATGTATATCCTTGCTAAGGAAAATTATCTAATCTTTTCAATCTCCTTAGGTCGAAGTCAAGCCTTATGTCTTGGACGATCAGATGTGCGACGAATGTCAAGGTCAGCGCTGCGGAGGAAAATTTGCTCCCTTCTTTTGCGCCAACGTTACCTGCCTTCAGGTATAATCAATACATTCCTTTACCTTTAACCTTATCTTTGTATATTATTCGTTTTGCTTTTTTTCCTTCCTTTCTCTCGTCAAAAGATTATGCTTCTCTAAAAATAAAAAAAAGCAAAATTGACTTACTTCCTTGCACAAGACAGCTAAGAAATTGTGACATAATTCACAAATAAATAATATTTTGTATATTTAATTAAATTTTATTTTCTAAATAAAATTGAATTTAAAAAAAAAATTTGTTGAAATTTGAAGTCAGAGTACATTTTTCTTTACAATTGTAAAAGCATACAATATTCTTTATTCATATGTAATTTAAATATTAATTACTTTTTTGCGGAAAGTGTTGGAAGCTTTTTCGATTTTTAGAGGTCCTTATAATTTTCCTATCAAAGACACTATCATTGCATATTCATTATACATGTGAAGTTAAGTTTTTTTTTTTTTTTTTTTTTAATTTATCATTGTTACCGAAATAAATTCTTATGAATATTTACAAAAATGGTAAACATAATTTAATGAATTCTGAACAGTTGATGAATTTTAATTTTTGTGATTTACAGCATTCTATAACAATTACTAATTCTACTTTTAATTATTATTAATCACTGTAAGACTGTGCAATTAATTAATTATAACTGGACCGGATATTTAATTAATACTAAACTAAAAAATACTAGATTTATAGAAATAAAAACATATACTAAAACTGTAAATTTAAATTATACAAAACTATTGATTTGAATTATGAATAATTAATGAATAGGTTTTTTCTAAAAAGAATAGAAGATTATATACTAAAACTACCGATTAAAATAAAGAAAATTATAGATTAAAATTAGACAAAACTGTAGATTAAAATTGTACAAAAATGTAGATTAAAATTATACAAAAATGTAGATTAAAATTATACAAAAATGTAGATTTAAAAACATATCCAACTTGTAGTAAACTAAAACTAAAATAATTGTAAGTTAGAACCAAATAATGCCAATGAATTACAGTAATAAAAGACAATTAAAAAAAAAGAACTAAATCTCTCTCACTACTTGCTTTCAGATAAAATGAAAAGCCCCAATCTAGATAATTATATTGTATTTTATCAATAATTAACGGGTATTATCTTTTTATTAAACAAATATTCTTTACAATGACCTTAGACTAGTCGATAATTGATTAAAAACTATAATTCAAATGGTGATTTCATGTTAAAAAGAATTGTATATTGTTGATTATATAAAATACCAGTTACTTATAGCCCTCTAGCAATGTTTGTTCTTTGCAATCGGCCTTGTTTACTATTTACTCTCTTATAATAATGAATAATAAAGTTCTACATTTCTGCCAAGAAAATCAGGGTCGTATTTTAATAAAGTAAATACAATCTACTCCCGACATATTAAATCATTACTTGACACTATAACTATAAGAATTGATTTATGTTTTATTACATTATTAAATAACAAATTAAAAGCATGTTGTAAAACCAAAAAACAAAGTTTACACTAACAGTTTAAGGAGAAAAAATAATGATATACCTTTTTTGTGTTTATAGAAAATTAACTAAATGAAAATTGAAAAAAAAATATCTTAAACCTTCATCGCTTTGGCATAACGCAGTTTATCTGAAAATTTTTTATTTTTACATTTAACGTCAAGATTCTCAGATAATTTATAATGTTTTAGTTTTGCAATTTGTTTGCAATTAATTTTTGGAAATTGTAGAAAATTAAAGAATTTATTTGTTTTCAGTACTATTGCGAACACTGTTGGGCAACAATTCACTCCCGACCTGGACGAGAGTTCCACAAGCCTCTGGTGAAGGAGGGTGCGGATCGGCCTCGCGCCGTGCCTTTTCGCTGGTGTTAACCCCAACTGCGTCGCCCCTAATTACCTCGCGGCTCTAGCTAATTAACTACCACATCTACAATGCCCTGAACCCATTATACCTTTATACCCACCTTACCTAGTCACAAGTACTACTACTCGATTGTCACTACTCCACTCTTCTACTACTACTACTACTATTACTACTACTACTCTACTACTACTACTACCACTAATATGCTACGAAACTATTACTACTATTACTCCATTACTACCCCTACTATCACCGATTTTACTCGCAAGATAATTGAGAAAAAAAAGAAACCCGTTACGCAAAAAAGGAAACCCACAAGATCTTCCTCTGCTCCCTCGGATCTTGTCAAAAAAAAATCAACATTTTAGAAAAAGGATAATCAATCAAATCCATAATATTCAAGAGACAAGAAATTGGATCATCGAGTGACGTCTGTCAACGTGTCAAGTGGATACGAAAAAAAACCCCCCCATATTATCGTTAATAATTGAATTCTTGTAAAACCTTGTCGGACCATTTATTGTCCAGATTAAGATCGCGTGTTATATTTACCTTCGAGAATTCTCTTCTACGAACTAGCGGCGTATTAATCAATTTTTCTCGTGGCGAAAAATTCTTTTTTATCCCTCAACAATCGGATAAACGCAAAGAAAATGATTCGATCCATAAAAGAACGACGAGGAATAAAAAACAAATTTTTCGCATCGAGATTGAAAAAAAAAAAAAAATTCTAATCGATCCAAAAAAAAAATCGAGGGTGAAAAAGAGGAAGAGATGAGAGTAAAGAAAGTAAGGAGGGGAAAAAAGGGGGAGAGGGAGAGAACTCTAAAGAAATTAATAATATAATGGGAAAAATAACGAAACACGCTCTCGAGCGTGTATGAGTGTTATTAATCGATAAATGGAAAACCCACGCTTTATCGCTGTGTATTAGAAGAATTCTCTGTATCACAGTTTCTAGCACCTAAGAATCTTTATTAACTGCGTTACATAGGTACGTTAATTATTAAAAAAAAGAAAGAATGAAAAGAAGCTCACGCGGGTAAAAAAAATTTTTTTAAGCCAAATTTCTTCTCGTTGAAGATGAGGTTTTTCCTTTTTTTTTTTAATTTGATAGTTGAATTTTTTCGCGAGGGGCGACCTTTTAGGGGACAATTTATTTTTTCACCGGCCCGCAGAGACAGCATCCGGTCTTCTTTATGAAGGTTTTCAGGTGTGTCTGCCTGAAGAAAGAAAAAGAAAGACCCATTTGCCAATCGCTTCCTTGGGAAGCAAAAAAAAAAAAAAAAAAAAAAAATATCACTCTCGCTAAATAGGAAAAATGTTCATTTAAAAAAAAAAAAAAAAGAAAATTGTTTAAAAGGCGATAAATGCATTTCAATTTTTTTGCAAATATCGCGTTTTAACGATGATTATGATGATAATAGTAAATGAAACTTTTTCTAACCAAGCGAGGCAAATCTTCGGATTAAATCTCCCATTGGTACAGGTAGAAATGATCCGTAGAATAGAGAAACGTAGAAATTCGTTAAAATCGTCCTTGACTTTAATGACGCAAAAAAAAAAACGATCTATTTTCATTTAGGATAGAGGACTTTTGCTACTATCTCGTAGAATTCGACATTTGCCGAAGGCAGATGTATGTAATACTTTCCGATAACGAAATGATAGATTTTTTTTAGATCTTTCTTCAAGCCAGACAAAAAAAAAAAAAAAAAAACAAAAACAAAAAAATACTAAAGGCGAGTTACGGGTTTTTTGCAATTCGAAAAAAGAAAACCCTAAAACCACGAGGAAGCTCTAGGCAAAGAAATAAATGGCGTACGAGATCGAGCATCCTCGATGCTCACCGAATTCGACATCCAAGAGGCTTTTAGATTATGTGACGCGCCCACCAAAAACCGGCATTATCGTTGCTTCGTGTCCTACTTTTATAAAAAAAAAAAATAAATAAATAACTTTTTTGTCCAAATTTTTGCTATGGTAGACAAGTGTTTTAACTCTTAATAATATAATAATAATAATATTAATAATAATAATAATAATATTAATAATAATATAAGAAAAAAAATAGCAGTGTGAAAACGGCTTTCGTGGACGCGTCCAAATCTAAAAACAAACAAAAAAAAATTTTTTTTTTGTGCTTGGCTTGTTGTGATCGCAGAGTGTTTATTTTGAACGTTACTCTAATACCTCTCCGCGTATTAGATTTACATTCGAATTTTTTAAATGAAAAAAAAAAAAAAATTCTCCGGGATTGGCCAATATTGATGTCACTCGGATCAACGATTTATTTTTGTATTTTTTTCTACCTAAATCCGAGGCTCGGGAGAGAGATCGAGGATAAGGGTGTACGAAAAATCGCGAGATGCCGACAATAAGCGGAATAAATCCAAAAAAAAAAAGAAAATTTCATACAAAAAAAAAGGAAGAAATATCTCGATGTGCACGTCTCAGAGCGAGAAAAAGATAAAACAATAATTTAACACCCTTGAGCTCGCTCGTGATCGCCCTCAAAAAACATTAGAAGAAAAAAAAACGAGTGGGGGGGGGCTAATTTTGTACATAAATGTGTAAAATCTTCTATTGCTACCTGCCCGCGCCAGCAGCGTTCGAGTGCGCACTCTTAACCACGATTTCTTCTCTCGGTGTATATAATCAAACGAATGCAATCGCGTAGTTCAAATTGAAAAAAAAAGAAAATAATAATAATACACTTGTCCCAAAACTGAATAGGACAATTATTCTAATTAATAATTAGAAATCAGAGTCGAGAACGTGTTGTGTCGTGTTTCTTTCCCACACGGTGAAAAAAAGAAGCTGGGGCAAGTTGACGCTTCTGAAGCACGATATACGTATATATATTATATATATTATAACCAATGCAAAAATACACTACATGAAAAAAAAATTTTTTTTTTTCAATTTACAGTACATTTTTTTCACACATACACACACTCGAATACACATAACATTTGGAAATAAAACACGGAGAGAAATCCGCAATATGGACCCGTAAGGTTTAAGAGAAAGACAAAAAAAAGTAATCTCCACATCTATATATATACATATATATATATATATATATAAATATAAACATATATATTTATTTTTTTGGTCTCCTTTTTGTATATAATATGGGCCACCTTAGGCGTAGGTGGTGATTAAATACCGAAGAGACGAAGGAAAGAATTACAAGTGTCTCGTTTGTGAACTTAGCTTCTCCCCTTCGATTCACGGTATTTCAACTGCTCGAAAAAAAAAAATGAAAAACGCGCTACGCTCTCAAAAAAAAAAAAAAACTAGGAAAAGGTGAATTATGTTTAAATCGCGAAGTCGCGAATAAAAATCGTGCAATATTAGCAAACAAATAAAAAAAAAGATAATCCGGCAACAAAACCGGGTGATTTGTGAAAAAAGTCTTTTAAATATTGTTAGCATGAAAAATTTTTATTCTTTAATTAATTCTTATTATTATTGTTCGCTGTGGCAATTTACATCATATAATTTTTTTTTCTAATCAAGTAAATTAATTTTTACTCTCTAATTTTTTTTTTTATACCTACAAATAAATTTCATATGTCATGATTTATATTATTTTTTCATAAATAAATTAATAAAAAAAATTTTCGAATGAAATATTTGTATTCCTTTTTTTTTATCATAAGTTTAAGACAATTTTTTTTATCATTTCTAGAAAAATTATCTTAATTTGTATATAAAGAAACCAAAAAAGAAAAAAAAATGTCGTTTGTGTGTTTTTGTCTCGTCTCTTTTTAGTGTTTATTAAAAAACACTATACAGTATTTTAGTGTTTTATAAGAAACACTATAATAGTGTTTTTAAAAATTATAACTCACAGATCACGTAGTTTTTTTTAAGCTAAACAGAAAAAGAAAAAAAAATGTGAAAATTCAATAGTACAATGAGAATTTTGAGGCGTGCAAAAAAGAGCGAGCATTAGTTAGTGCAATTTTAACGCGAGTTACGACCTTTCACGTGACGCGCGAATTTAACAAAAAAGAAAAATAAGGACAAAAAGCCGCGAACGTCGAAAACAAATGAACGGAAACCCGACATTTTTTTACCCTCTACCCTCTACCATACCAAGCGATGACAAAATAAAATTAATTTCTTTTGAAATCATTTTTTTTTTATTTTTTAATATTAAAACAGTGAAATTCATTTTTATGAAATGAAATCAAAATGAAATTTAAAATCCCATTGTCTTTGGAGAAAAAAAATTTCGGCTTTTCCTTGATTTGATTCAAACATTCATGGCGTGTCCGCCTTAAGTAAATAAATTCATGATCGGAGTTATCAGTAATTTAAAAAAAAAAAAAAATGTCAAAAAAATTTAATCGTGTTCAACTCACGATTAAGTTTATAAAAATATATATTGTACGTAATATAAATATAATGCAATTCGTATATACATAAATATTTACATAAATGGCGTGAACTCGCAAAAAATTAATAAAACAAATTTTCCCTCAGCGCGTTTTGATCGTGTACGTTTTTCTATAATACATATACATCACAATTCGATAAATTGAAAGATACAAATAAGGGAAAATGAAAAAAAAAAAAAAATTATATAACGTGGAAGGACACACCCTATACACGAACATGTAAACACGTATACAGAAAAAAAAATGAATTATATAATAAATAAATAAACACAAGCGCGACACACGCCAATCGGTATAATTGTAGCGAAAACTTAACTAGGTACCAATTCACCTAAATCAATTGATAATTAAAAAATATATATTATAATTATAGAGTAGCATTATATTCGACTTTTTGACCGCCGTTGACGTTAGACATTTTTTCGGACAATGGACCGTTTTTTCTAGTGAAATTTGTCTAATTTTTAATTACATACACCGGGTATTTTCCGAGAACCCGTTCTAATCTCATTACTTCCCCCCGCCCCCAATTTTTCACTAAAAATTATCAGCCGTTTGTCGCACATTTATTTTTCTATATTTATTTTTTAACTATATACATACATATAATATACACAATATCTAATCCAAAGATATTTTTTTAATCGAATTGTGATTTACTCGAAGGGATCTTTTTTTTATATAATATATTTCGTTATGGGGAAATATTTTTTTTTATACCTAGAATTAACATTTTATTGTACAAAATTTAAGATAAGTTTTCTTCTTTTTTTTTACTTTTAATATGTAAGATTTTTTTTTTTTTGTGAAATTCCCCATTGGAGAATTTACGAAAACAAAGTGAGAACGGCTGTTTTTTTTAGTAGTGACACACGATATTAAAAAAAAAAAAAAAAAAAAAAAAAGAAAGAAAAAGAAAACACGAACACAAATCTTGCAGGCACACTTACGTGCGCGTTCTTAATATTCGAAATTACGATCGTACCTTTTTAATATGAATAATAAATATGTAGTTATTAAAAAGAGAAAAAAAAATCTCAGTTGTGTTATCGTGCTTTTTATAAAAAGTTTAGTGCCGATGACAAAAAAAAAAAAAAAAGCGGTGCTGTTTTCATACGTGAATCAAACTGTTCTAGACGTCGTGTATAAGAAATTGATATGTGAAAAACTACGATTTCGCGCTAGTGCTTCACAGAAAACAAAAAAAAAAAAAAGAAAAATGAGAATCGAAGTGTCCTGTTGTTTACTGTATCCTTGCTCATGCTCTATGGTCTAAATGATGATAATTAATATGCATTCAAATTTATAAACATCAACCACTTTCCCACCCTTAAAAGCGTCTTCACGTCATGAGAATTTTTCCGAAAAAAACTTCCCTGAAAAAGAATTTATTTCAAAAATTAATTTCATTTTCAACTCATTTTTTTTAAAAAAATAATTAAAAATTTTTCTAACTTAAAAATGTAATAAAAGTATTAAAATTTTTTATTGAAATTAATTAATATAATGATTTTAATGAATTAGAAAAAGAAATTTCAACTTCGTTAATAACAAGATCTGTTTATTAAAAATAGAGAATTTCAATTTTTTGTAGAAAGAAATAAAAAAAATTATTTTAAATCCTCCTCTTTTTCCGGGAAATAAATAACGATACAAAAAAAAAATTGTCTTTCTCTGCAAAGTTCATCGCAGTTGGCAACGACTCTTATACTTCTCGTCAGAATCGAAATTCCACGTCACGAGACACCCCCACATATCAAAATCGATTTTCGCACAAAAGAAAAAGGGTAAAAAAGAAACCGGATTTGCTTATTTCGAGCTTTTTGCGAATCTCGAGTGCGTTGGGAGTTTTAATTTAATTTTAATCGAGAGCTCGGGTATAGAGAGGCGCGTTGTTGGAAAATATGGGAGAGAAAAAAATAAATTCGACTCGTGAGACGCGGTTAACACACACACACACAGCTACAGAAAAAAAAATCACGGAAACAGATATAAAATCACAGACATAAAATTTTACAAATTCAAAAAAAAAAAAAAAAAAATTACAAATGCTCACATCAAAACAATTAACAGATTTTTAATACATAACAAAGTAACATTAAGAACACACAGAAAGCACTTTTCATGCGTTGCACGCGTGATCGGTATGACAAAAAAAAAAAAAAAACAAAATAATAACAATATGTTAGGTGTGATTCTTCACCTCCTTTGTAATGTGTGTGATAAAGCATAGAATATATATAATGACTATTATATATATATAAATATAAATATTATATATAAAGTACTAATATATAATTGATAATAATGATTAAAATATCTAATATATTCTGACAGACAAGAAAAAAATATAACTGAATTTACTTTCGGGGACAAAAGTCCGATTTCTTTTTTAAAACTTTAATCAGAGGTCTCTACCTCAAGAATAAAATATTATTCAATATATATATACACAAGTTAAATAAAAAAAAATCTGTTCTAAAAGATAAGAAATTTCTCTATTTTAAAGAATGAAAATTTTCTTTTTTCAAATTTTTTCAACTATTTTGAGGTAGAACCTTTTAAATTTTGACTTTCGTGTCCGAACAGTAGAGCGAATAATTTGCACGACACACGACATATATAGTGAAACAGTAACAACAGAAATAGCATACAACAACAAAAATACAAAGGTACACAAAAAAAAAGTGATCCAACAAATATCACTTACACGAACACAACAACGGCATATAAAACTCTATATGATAATAAAAGATGAAAAAAAAAACAAGTAATCCTTAATGGCAGCAATTATAAACAAAAAAGCGCATCTCGACCGAACTCTGTCGTTCGATTTACTGAATGAATAATTAAGGGCAAATCGTGCGAAAGAGAAAAAAAAAGAAACAAATTAAGTACGCGATGTTAAAAAAAAACGAGAGGGGGAAAAGAGTAACAATGGTAGTCACTTACGATAGATTTGTATTTTTCAGTGTTGAAAAATTTTTTATACCGCTGTTATATTCTTGTCTATATATCTTAGTTCCGTGCAAGAGAAAAAGAATAAATGAGAATATATGAAAAAAGAGAGAATGTGCCTCTAGGTGAGAATGCTAAAGGGGGGAGGGAAAAGGAACAATTAGTTCTGTCCAAAAAAAAAGAAAAAAAAAAAAAAAAAAAAAAATATGGAAAGAACGGGATCGATGGTAGTGAAATTTTTGTATCTCTAAAAAAAAGTAAATATTACCAAAACAAGCAATTTTGTTTTTTTTTGGTAAACAAAAAATTATGCATGAATGTGAAGTATATTAGAGAAAAAATGTCTTTTATTTTCGGAATAAGAAGAAATTTTTGCAACCCCTTCGAGAAACCCTGAAAATCATGTGTAAAAAAAAATGCAATATCGCGCGAAAATGAATAGAAGATACCACGAAGTCAAATTTAAAAAAAAAAAGTGATACGTGCGTGATCGTGCGTACTTCCTACAATATACCTATATATTATTTAATATGAATATAAATAATGATAGTAATATAAATTACCCCTGCTCACCCTCCGATATACCGTTTTCCGAGGAAGATTCAAATGATTTTTATTTTTTTATATAAAAAGTTATTATTATTATATTATTATAAAACTGTAGATAAAAAGAAAGAAAGAAGAAAATCTGTAGCGTTTATATAAAAAAAAAATAGCCCGAAGATTGTTTTCTTTGTTTGTCTCTTCTCTTTATATTCGACAAAAGCGATACCCAAAAAATTTTTCTTACAAATTTTTTGGGCGCTATTGTCAATTTAGTTTATGATTTTATTTTATTTTTTTTTTTTTAGTATATCAAAATACTAATAATGAATAATTCTATAAGTAAGAAGAGCACCTATTATCGCTATAATATAATTATTACGTTTACGCTAATTATTGCTATATTATATACCACTTATTACACTGTTATTATCATTGATCGTTATCGCCTATATATGATTCCTGTCACTATTATATTTGTAGAGATCTCCACGAGTACCAAAGAGACAAGGAAACAATCACACAGCCAAATTTTTTTTTTTTTTCATAACATTTAAACACAATTAAAAAAAAACATGCATAATCAATGAATTAAAAAAAAAAATTATGCATTTTTCAAAAAGAAAAAAAGCATAAGACAATTAAAGAAAAAATTATACAGCGCAGACATTAATGTGCACATTTTAAGAATAAAAACAAAAGGAAAAAAGAAAATCCAAGTAGCCTAAGAATTTTGTGGAGACATTAAATGAATATCCGAGCATTCAAAAAAAAAAAAAATTAAAAAAACAGCAAGCGTTGGTTTCTGAGTTTTGTCGTGAAATTGACGACTAGCAAGAAAAAAAAAAAAAAAATAACGAGAGGGAATTTTCTTTCTCGCAAATCGAGCTTCTCTTTATTATAATATGGAGAGAAACAAATTATGTCAAATTTTTGAGCCGCTGGTGATTGACAAAACCACGTGTGCTCTTGGCTAGGAAATTCAAGTCACGAAATGTTTAGGACTTTAGAGGTATATAAAATAATTGCTTAGACTTTTTAAGACAAAACATGAAGCTGGGAGTAGTGCAATGTTAAGAGACAAAAAAAAATACAGACGCGGCGAGGGGAATTACTTGAAAATGGAATGACGAGCTTTTTTTTTAAAAAAAAAAAAGATTATAATTAATCGAAATAAAATTGTAAAAAATTTTAATTTAAATTATTAAATCAATTTTTAGGTGATTAAATTTATTTGAAATTATATTTAAGGAAATTAAAATTACGTGATGAATTTAATATTACTAGTTGAAATTAAAATTATTAGTAAAATTGAAATTACATTGTAGAAAAATTAAAATATAACAATTCCGTCTTTGAAGCCAATTTTCTTTTTAATTGAAAAATAATGAGAAAAGAGTGATTATAAGTTGAAAAAAAAGGTCCAGACAAAAGGACAAAGTGAATCAATTTTTAATCACGAAAAGAGCAAAGAAATTGTTTAAGATCAAAGACCGCAAACTTGAGTTTGAACTTAAAACTAATTGAAATCGGCAAAGTTTGTATGGAATGAAAAAAAGTCAAATATAAACGAATGCACTCGAATCGAAATCGTATTTTAAAATTAATTTATTCGTTGAGATACTTTTAAAGAGTTTATAATTTGTTAAACTTTATTTTACATTTGCATTGAAGCATAAATCTCAATATTTTTCATTATTTTTCTATAATATTTCAATACATATTTTTTGTATATTGTTTCAAATTAAAAATACCTGTATTTTTTTCAAAATTAAATTAAATTAGTTTTTTTTTATAAATTCGAAATTATATTAAATATTCTTCTATGATTTAAAAAATTATTAGAAAAATATATTTAGGTATATTTTAATTTTAAAAAAAATTATTTTTCTATATATAATTTAAAATTATTTTAGGTTTTTAATAGGTGCAAAAAATTTGTCTAGCTTGAAATTATAATGCATAATAATTTTGTGATTTTTAAATTTATTTTTAATATTTTTCTAATTTAAAATTATAAGAGCGATTATAATTAATATTTTATAATTAATCATATTTCTATTAAAAAAATATATTTAAAAAAATTATAATTCTAATAATAAATGAATTAACTGAATATTATACCAAATGCGTAAAAAAAAATTGTACTGATTAGCTTTCTTATCACTTTCATGAAAATAAACTATTAAATTAATTTTTAAGTCGAATTTAAAAAATTTTTTTTTATTAACTTTTCTTCTGTGAATTTTTTTTCTATACGATATATCGATTCGAATGTATTTTATAATTAGAATATTAATATTTTTCAAAGATTGGAAAAAATTGATTCAATTTTTTTCTATTTAATTAATTAATTTGCTCGATCATTCTAAAAAAAAAAAAAGAAGCCCTCTCCGCCAATGTGGTTCTTATAAGTTTGTTGATAATAGAAATTCGTAAAGTTAAGAAAGAAAGAGTTCTCGATAGATGCAAAAGGGACGAAAAAAAAATGAGCGAGAATGAAAGATATAATGTAAAAACCAACGTTTGATATGTACATTTTAGCCTAAATATTATATTACGTGTGTTTTCTAGTGACGAGGCATGTTTCGATGACTGTCTAATGTTGTAAATCTGTAAGTTCGTCTATTTTTTTTTAATTGTGGCGCACGCATACGCATATATTATTATGCAAAAAAAAAGGAAAAAAAAAGTTACACTCGCGTTTCATCCAAAAACACAATATTCACACCCCTCTCAAACACTTTACACGAGTTAACAAATTTTTCTTAATTGAAATAATAAAATAATAAATTTTACATTATATATATAAAAAAAATATATATATATATATTTTACTTGAATTTTTTTTGTAATGTGTACATTTTGTAGAAGAGGAGTGAGAAGCAGTGAGAATAATAGAGAGCTATTAGAGGCGGAATAATAATGAAATTTTTGTAATTATACTTGTAAAATCGCTGTTTCGTGCGAAACGAGAGGTTAAACCTGATTTCTTAATTATTCTTAGTAGTAGTTCGTATCGATATATTTAGAATATTATATATATATATATATAAAAATGAAAAAAAAAAATGAAAAATAATCAACGAGCCTGAGGTGTCATGATGCCCGGTAACTCGCTAGCCAATTTGCTCCTACAGTCTTTTGTACCGTTCTTTTTTCTAAATAATCACTATATTTAGCAATTATTATATTATAAACGTGTATTTCTATATACGCTTAGACGAAGTTTTTCTACACCCCCCGTTACACATACACGCGCGCGTTCACGCCACACGTCTCTTATTAAAATAATATAGTGACAATTTTTAATCGCAAGATTCGTGATCGCCGATCGGGTCACGCGACTTTAATGAAAGCAACAAAAAAAAAAAAAAAAAAATGAATAATAATAAATAAATTCGTGGAGGAAAAAAAAATTAATTCGATTTTCGCCGAGGCCCCTATACAAAATCGTTTGGTAAATATTAGAATTTTTTATACGTCCAAAAAAAATTTTCTTCCGCACGATGGAAGAAAATAAGATAAAAAATATGAAAAATCGAGCACCATTTTTTGAGAGTAGCTTCGCGAAAATCGATTAGTAAAAAATACAGTGGATATTGTGATTATTCTTAAATAAAAAAAAAAATAAATAAATAAAACAAGGGGGAGGCTCGATGAAGGAAAAAAAAGAATCGCAGAACGAAAGGAAAGGGGTGGGTTAAAGACCAGATACCTGTTTTTTCATACGTTAGGTGTTTTTCGCATGTACCTAGTTAGGCGTTAAATAAAAAAAAAAAATACGAGGTAACCTTTTAAAGCTAATACATGTTAAGCCTTTTTCACGTAGTGGGACATGAATGTGGGTGGAAAGCAAAAAAAAAAAAAAAAACACGAGGAAAATAAATAAAGAGAAAACAATTGAGTTTTAAAGGAATGAATGAAGAAGCAAAAAAACGGAAGCGTGTGAGTGGCTTTTGATGCGAAGCTAGTTTCGGAAGTATATAAGAGATAGAGACTGCGAGCGCAAGTGAAAAAAAAAAACATTGGCAAAAATCGTTCGGCGGGAGATTTTTTACCATTTTCTAAAAAATAATAAAAAAAAAATATTACAACGGTTGACCTAAGATGTTCGTAGTTTTGAATGTACTTGGCACTTTTTGAAACTTTCGAGTTAGATCGATTTTAAACGGAAGAAGACGAATATATAAAAAAAAAATTAGTATTTCGATTAGTGTTTTTGTATAATATTTCTCGTAAACGTGATTGCAAATATAGACTTAGGAGCGCTGAGCTTCCGCTTTTTTTCGCGTCTTTTTGACTTTCGAAAAAAAAAACCACCAATCTAAAGCACCAGTATTTAGCTATTTTTCTCCACTTTTATCCCTTTTTTCTGCCTAATCGGTCTTCTTCATCGCGTGTCACCAACTTTTTTTTGTTTTTTTTTTCAAATTTCGATAATAGAACATTTTTCTTGAAACCAAAAACAAGATTTATTTTGAATTTTTTTTTTTTAAATCTCCTCGCTCCTTTCCATGAGTGTACTAGTCATTATAGAGTACTTTATATATTATTATTACTATTATTATTATTAAAGAAGAAGAAAGAAAGAAAGAAAAATGAATTAATTGTTGAACCGAGAAATTTTTGAATTTCAAGATAATGGTATTTTTTCATCGAAACATTATTTAAATGCCTTCTTTTCTCTTTTTTTTTTTGTTATAAATTAATTTAAAAGTATTTTTTTACTATTTTACGTTATTATACGATCTTTTTATTATATGGCGATGAAACATATATTAGACGAATATTATAATCTACCTTATATAATAATAAATAAGAGGAGTGCAATTCAATTTTTTAAGAGAGGTTTATTTTTTCGGTATAGATACGCGACTCACTCGAATAAACGAATAGACTAAAGATTTAAAAAAATAAAAAAATAAAGTAAAAAAAAAAATCGTGCGCAATGCAATCGACCGTTTCGAGCGTTAGGCAAATCTTAGATAATCGTTAGCTGAAACAGTAAACAGTATTACTCGAGTACTGAAAAGGTATCAGCGTATGCTTCTTTTTTCTCATTGTTAACACGTTGTAACATGCACGCGTTTGATACGATTTATAATATTAATTCTCGTTGTTGAACTACTTAGACGATTGCGATTGCTACCGATCCCATATCTATATATTTAAAAAAAAAAGTGAATTCTATACATTACACTAAAGAAAAAAAAAAAAAAAAAGAAAAAAAACAGAAAGAGAGTGAGGGAGACACGGACACATGCCTAAATACACAAGACTTTACATCTATACAAATGTTCTTTGTTACCTACTTTTATTAAAAAGTAAAAAGACACTTTTCACAACAAAAATAAATAAAATAATAAATACGAGCAGAGCAAATCTCAAAAAGCCAACTTTTTCAATAAATAATAAAAATCTATGCATGTAATAGAGAGTTAAAGTTCGATTCTAGTAATATCAATATCAATTTTTTCAATGAAATCTATCTATATACATATATATATATATTATACATTTCTCTGTTGGTCTTTCGAATTTACTCTGTTTCGAAGCTAATCGATATTTCAATAAATATCTTATTATTAAAAAAAACATTTTTTTTAAGCGATCCAACGAGTGCAAATGTCAGCAATGAGGAGACAAGAGCAATTTGTATATGTATTCACTTGTTCCGATCTCCCTATTGATAAATAATTCCAATTTTTTTTTTATTGAATATATAATCGGCAAATTGTGAAAATAATTTTCATTTATAACAAATTAGTCTCGTTTTGAGATGAGCGATGTGTCTTTTAAAATCCGATTTGCTTATCTATTGCTGTTAAGTCGAGCGCTCACTTCTCCAATATTTTTTTTTTCTTTTATTTACCAAAGTGAAGTTTTTTAAATTCCTCACTTTTTGTGAATTTCTTCATTTCACATTTTGTGAGGTTCTTCACTTAAATTTTTTTTTTATAAAATTTGGAAAAAAAAATTGAAGCGATCGCTCGATTAAACCGACGATTTATAACTGTGATTGGCTATATCGAGAGTTATGTTAAAATTTTTTTTTTTTTTTTTTTTTTGAGGAAAACTCGAAGGACCGTTCTCAACAAGGACGATTTTTAAAAATCTACTCCCATTATAATTCGCACCATGACCGATCGCCCGGTCTATAAAAACGGAGAGACGGTCTTTCGATCTTCTCAAAGTAAATGAAAAAAAGTGTGCAAAAAAAGTATCCTAAAAAGCCACCGCACCAGTCCAATTTTTTCTAGTGTCGATTCTTGATATTTATAATATAGAATATAGGCGTTTAATCGATGAAAAAAATACCTTGTAGCTTAATTATTAAACTGATATATAATATACATAGAATTTATTTTTTTGCTCGCAGAATAATTGTTATTAAGTATATTTAATGGAACGAGTCGTTATATACCGTTTGAGTAAACGAGCATATATATATATATATTATTGAGAGAAAACTGTAACAATGAAAGTGCGAAAATTTTAGCTCGAGAGCATCTTTTATTATATTATATATTTTCATCTTGCGATAAAAAATTACAATTTTTTTTTTTTTTTACTCATTTTCAAATTTATTGAGGGAAAAATTATCGAAAACAGTTGAGTAAAACTTAAATGTACGGAAAATATCGATTGTTATTTCTCATCGCAAAATGAAAAATCTAGCATATATATTGTCTCTCTCTCTCTCTGTATAAAAATATAAATAGTTATGTAACATTATATAATATTGGTGCAAAAGGTTAAAAAAAAAAGAAATTTGCGCCCAGTTACCAAATTAGCGTTCGTCAATGACTATTTGTAATTCGGTGAACCAAAGTCATAATTCTAATTGAGACTTGATATTTAAATTACAATTAAAATTAGGAAAATTTTTTAATAACGATAAAAAAAATTAAGCTATAAGATAAAATTTGAATGTAATTTAAATAATATAAAAAAATAAAAAATATTCTTAGTACCTATTCCTTTAAAATGTTCGAATAAGTAATGTAATTTTAAGCTTTTTTGGAAAATTTTAAAGCTATATATATAAATATATATATATTCGACTGAAGACTTGGGTTCACCGATATGATATATATATATAGAGAATGATATAAAATAGAGTACCACTCTCGTTGTTCAGAAAATGTACTCTAAAGAAAGGAAAAAAAAATCTTGGTATCGTGCGGTGGCTAATACACTGTGGCATTAATTAAAATTAAGGCACGCTAACGAAACCAAGAGATGTTTTTTTTTTTTAGGATAAATTGGCTGTGCCACTTACATATATATGCTTCTGTTCACCGATTGACGTCTTTGATTATCGTAAACCCGTTTAGTTACTCAGGACACAGCCCACCTGAGAACGCATTCAGGCTGTGAAACACTATTAAATATATAGGGATTTCATGCGACAAAATGAAATTTTTTGTTCATTGATCCACTCGAGATCTGTGGTGTGAAGAAATGAAAAAAAAAATAAATAAATAATCAGCCATTGGTCTTTTTTTATATTTGTGTATAGTCGTTAAGGTTCCAAAGCCCGTGAACTTTCCCGCGTGCGCGAAACAATCTGAGATTTGATTTGGTCCAATGTTTTTTTGTTTTTCTTGTATTGCATTTTTTTTTTTTTATTAACCACCATCGAGCTGTAAATTTTAGCTTTTACAAAAATTAAAAAAAAAAATTCTTTTTCCAAACATGGCTCAAATCTCTTCTCTGGATGTGTATAATGAAATCAAAGACGTCGGTTGCAAAAAAGCCTGTAAATCGTATCAATCGGAGACGGAATGCAACAAGGGGAGAGCAAAAGAAAAAATTCGAAAAAAAAATTCTTTTTTCTTTCAATTCGAATTTTATCATTATTGTTGTCTCCTTGTTGATGTGAAGATATCACCTTGCGCAGACTAAATATTTATATATATGTAAACGTGTATATGTATGTACATGAAGAAAAAAAGATAATAATAAGAGAAGGAAAAAAACGAAGAAAATAAATTAAACGTTAAATTCTTCGACTTTTTGTCCCTTATGTTTATATATATATATATATATATATATATATAAAAACAGGATATAATTTATATATATATATATATATATATATATATATATATGCATAAATATATCTTAAAAATATATATATACATATTTCATGTATACACATATACATATATTTATATAAGTAGGATGGTACTTTCGTGCTCGTTTTCTCAAATCACACACACACATACATACACATACACACATATGCTCCAACACAAACATATTATTATAATTACCTAACAGAAGTAATTTGTACTATGTAACTATTACTATTTTTATGAATTTTTGTACATTTTTCTAATTATTTTGTATAATAATCCTTAGCGGAAAGAATGGCAAAAAAGTCTGGAATTTCCCCCCATTACCCTTTGACCTTTTATCCTATCCGCCCCCCCCCTATGTCCCAAAGAGAAAAAAATCCCGCGAACCTCCCCCAAAAGTGTTCAAACGGCGAATTTGACGGTGTGACGCGAGAAAAGAAAAAAAAAAAAATGTTTCTGCATGAAAGTGTGAATTTGTGTGTGAAAAGGTTATTTGTCAAAAAAAAGAAAAATTGAATGGAAAAGAGAGAGAAATGGTTGGTGACTTTTGTCAAAAAAATAATAATAATAACACAAAATAATGGTGAATGTTTGTCCGTTTGTTCGTGCTGTGTTTTTAGTCGAGGGGGAGATTTTTTCCTAAAATCCTTTTACCACTTAGTGTTATACTTTTTCGCTATTATAATAAATAAGGGTACTATTATGTACGACGATTTTTATGTTTTGTATTTTAAAAAAAAAAAGTGAAATTTCTTAGGGACAAGTTGCAAAAAATATAGAAGGGAATGGAAAAAAAGAACGATTGAAATAAAAAAAAAAAAAAAGAAATATGTAACTTGGGAGACTTTAAGTGTATTTGACGAATTATTTAGCAAAAAAAAAGAAAAAAAAACAGAATGAAACAAATGGTATTGCAAGAGTTGAATGTGTGAGAAAAACAAAACCTCCTTCGTAATTTGAAACGTGTTTGTTATTAATTATAAGAATCACTTTTTCCTTTTTCTTGAAAATGAAATGCTATAAAAAAAATAGATTGATTCTTTCATGAAGAATCTTTTGAATTTTGTCTGAAAAAAACCTTGTCGAGCAAAAAACGATTTGTGCAAAAAAAAAAAAAAAAAATATATATATATATATATATATATAGTGAGGAAAAAACAAGTCGTCAACAAAATTCGCCTAAAAATAACCTCATCTTCCTTGTGAGTTCTGCAATGAAATAAAAAAGTAAAATAATAAAATAAAAATCCATTTCAAAGAGTTATAGACGAATTTAAAAGAAAGAGGAAAAAAAATCAACCTCCACGAGTATTTCGTCAAACGAAAAAAAGTCGCGCTCCCACGTGTACTCATTTCGTACTACTATTCTATTCTTACTACTTGGTATTTATGTGTAATTTACGATTTTTTGTTAATTTCAAACCCTTTTAGTACTTTAATAAATGAGTTTGTTAAAAATAATTTGACTATTTATTTAAGATCACTGCAATTTTTTTACAGGTGAATTTTTCTCCAGTACCTACCATTTCCTTATATTTCTTTTGATTCAATTAAATATTTATGAAATTTTTAATGTTTCCTTTTTTAAAGAAGCTCCAAAAATCATCATAAAACATAAACATTTTACTATACATTTAATTCTATTAAATTTAATTTTAATTTTAGTGCATAATTTATTATTTATGTTCATATTTTTGGTATTCTCTTATAAAAGTTATACTATCGGTAGAAATTTCTAAAAGTTATTTTATTATAAAATTATATTCTTAATTATTATGAAGTTTTCCTACATACCCATAGCTTAAACTGTATAAATTAATGAAGAAACTAAAAATTTTTTAAACAAATCATTAATAACATTTTTTTTATATTCATGAAACCAAAAAATCTTTTAAATATAAAAAATCTTTTCAATTTAAGAATTCAACATTTTGTCTAAAATAACAAATATACATAAGTCTTAAAAATATTAAATTCAAAAGTTTTTGAATTTTAAAGCAGTTATGTATAATTTTGAAAAGCTATCGATAAAAATTTATACTTTCTAAATGAAAAAGCAAGTTGCAATCTTTTATTTTTTAGTATAAAAAATTTTATTAATAATTAATATACTTTCGGTTCGTTGATAATTTTATCAAAGTTTTGCGAAATTTAAAAAAAATTGTAAAGATACAAAATAATTTTTTGAGTACCACATTAGAAATTGATAAATAATACATTATAAAACTTTGAAATCATAAAATTGCAAGCTGCAATCTTTTGTTTGTAGTTAACATTTTTTTTTTTTTGGTATTATAAAAAATGTAATAATTTGTCATATTTAAGTAAAAATCATTATTTATTATTATTATAATATAATTTTATAAAGTTTTAGAAAATTTGAAATTTTGTGTGAATTTAATCACTATAAAGTACATTATAAACATTTATTCAAGAAAATACAGTCGCCTCTCGATAAATTGAACTTCAAGGGACCGTAAAAACAGTTCAAATAACCGAGAGTTTTATTTATCGCATGTTTTAATTATCGAGGGGAAATTCAAAATAACAAGAGTATTGAAAATTTAATTTTTACGTATTTTAAAAAGACATTCTTTACAGTTGAATATAGTCTATGTAATCTTTTTTGTTTTAATGTACTCAAACGTGCAATATCTATATATTATTTTCAATTGTCATTAGATCTGTAAAAACTTCTCCGACTTCCACGCGAAGTGCATATGAGTGCAAAGCATTCAAAGATGATCTCGCCTATTTCAATGTGACATCTTTTTTTGTTGCTCCTCTCTCTATACCACCTCAATAACTATTTTCCTTTCGGAAAAAGATAAATTTTTATTGGTTCTTAGAAACATTTTAAACGATATAAACCGAGGCAGATAGCAAAATGAATTAAGAAATTACTGAGCATTGTTAATAATAAGGTAATTAGGTATTGTATTGACAAATGAAACAATACAATAACTATTATTAAGAAGAGAATATTTTGTACGTAAATATGTAAATTTGTATCGCAAGAAAAGTTCAAATTTGAGAGTTTGGTCTGGCTGAATTCAATATATATAGAGAGTGAATGGAGAAATTGACCAAAAGATACTTTTAATTATCGAGAGTACATAAAACCATAAAGCCATTCAATGAACACTAATCCTAAGAAAACACTCAATATATAAAGAAGGACAAAAGTGCCCTCTGATGATAACTTGTAGAGATTGGATTGCGCGAATTTTAAACTTAACATTTCCCCTCAAGACAACCTCTAAATTTCCAGTTCATATCCTGGATAACCCCAGAAGATAAATACACCGTTCGTGTTTCGGTTTCGTTAATGCCTTAGTTAGGACATCAGCTGGCATATCTTCGGATGATATGTGTTCCAAACACAGTTGACCGGATTTCACTGCCTCGCGAACGAAATGATGTCTAATGTCAATATGTTTGGAACGAGCATGATACACTGGATTTGTAGCCAACTTTTGTGCACTTAAATTATCAATGCACAGTTTAACTGAATCAACGTCGAATGCCCCAAGTTCTCGAAGAAATCGTCTCAGGTGAGTTGCTTCTTTTGCCGCTTCACTTAACGCCATATATTCGGCTTCGGTCGTTGATAAAGCAACAGTGCGTTGCTTTTTCGAATCCCATGTTATTATGCCACCACTCATGATGAACGCATAGCCAGTGAAGGAACGTCTGTCGTCAATTGATCCTCCCCAGTCGGCATCGACATATCCAATCAATGAGTTCCCATTAGAATGATATGTAATTCCGTAATCTTTTGTGGCTTGAAGATATCGGAGTACTCTTTTTGCCGCAATCCAATGATTTTTCCCGAAACAATCATTAAATTGGCTTAATAAACTCGCTGCGTGAGCTATGTCAGGTCGCGTTGCAACTGAAAGATATAAAAGACATCCAATTAGTTCACGGAAAGGTGGTTTTTCACCATCATCTTCTGACCACGTTTCACTTTTGATTAGCTTGGTTCCAACATCTAATGGAATTGTTAAAGAATTGCAATCTTTCATTCCAAATCGATCAAGAATCTCCATGATGTATGTCCTTTGATTCATAATTATGCCATCGTCAGTTCTGGTAAAATCTATCCCTAAACAGCGTTTGAGGTCACCGATGTCCTGTACTTCGACAAATTTTCCTAACTGTTGTCCAAACCATGAAAACTTCTTCCGATCTTTACACATTACCAGAATATCGTCAACATATACGACAATAATAATCATACTTTCACAACCTTTGATCAAATAAACACACTGGTCGGAGTTTGTTGGTTCTGCTCCTAATTTTCGCAATTTCTCATCTAAGAAATTGTGCCATGCGCGACCAGCTTGTTTCAAACCATATAGTGCTTTTTTTCATTAAACACACCTTATTACCCTGTGTCAAATTGTCCAGCATCACCTTGGCTTTATCGATTGATGAATCCTGATCTCTGTTTTCATTGATGATAAATCTGAGCACATCCTCATATCTTTTTGGGACTTCCATATATACAGTTTCATCTAATTTACCATTAAGGTAAGCCGTTGTCACATCATATTGTTGAATATGCATATTTTCTTTAATTGCAAAAGCGATTGCTGTTCGTATGGACCCTAGATGAGCAACTGGTGCATAGGTCTCATTAAAGTTTTCACCATACTGTTGGGAGTAACCTTTGGCTACAATTCTAGCCTTTCTTCTGTTTAAAATTCCATCTTTCCCCCATTGCTTCCATCCATTCATCAGACTCCCGGCTGGATAGAGCTTTTGAAATAGGTATCTCGGCTAAAAAAGAACAATCAAATTCGTCATAAGTTGCATTGGATGCTGTATCATATACCTTTTTCGGCCTTCCAGGTTGTCCTGTACGTAGCAACTTCGGTCTACCAACTTTTCTTGCAGGTAGAGGATTATTTGGTGGGAAACCCTGAAAATCTTCCTCGTCGGATTCATCTGTGTTACTGTCACTTATCTCCTGGATATTCTCAGTCGGATGATCATTTGAATTTTCGTTTCTGCAAAGATCGATGTCATTAGAATCGACACATTCTGCTTGTCCGATAGCACGTAAAGGGTTAGATAATGATTTGGATTGATCTTCAATAGGACCAAAATCTTCACAATCCTTGATTGATTGAGTCTCGGATTTTTCAAGAAATTTAACATCTCTAGACACCACGATCTTTTTCTCTACAGGTAACCAGATCCTGTATGCTTTCGATTCTGAACTATACCCGACAAATATACCTTTCTTGGATTTCGGTTCGAGTTTACTCCTTCCTGGTATTCTGTTCATTACGAAAACATCACAGCCAAAAAGTTTGAAGTCTGTAACGTCTGGAGCTTTTCCATACCAGGCTTCAAATGGAGTTTTTCCGTTGAGTTTAGTTGAAGGAGATCTATTGGGAACCGCAGCACTACAATGTGCCCTCTAGTGTTAGAACGCTCTATTAAAATAACGAGGTTGAAATATGTAAACACTGTGCAGTTATTGCCATTAAAGGTTACGTTTTTAAATAATTCGCAAATTATTATTAAATTATTTTTTATATAATAGTTGAATTATAAAAATGGATGAAAATGGAACGAAGTTTAACCCCAAAAAAACAAAATGTAAACGATTTTGCTCAGTTTATGGCTGTTCGAGTAAAGCTTGCAAAGATAGTGAAATACGTTTCCATTCATTTCCTCCACTCGAAAAGAATTTTGTTAAACGAATTAATGAAAGAGGTGTTGAAGAAATAATTGATCGCAGAAAGCTATGGAAACAAGTTTTAAAAATGGGGAAAAAAATTTCGCCGAGCATGTGTGTGTGTTCCTTACATTTTAAAAGTGAGGATTACTTGCAACCAACAAGTAAGTTTTGTCATTCATAAAATAAATTTTATAAAGTAGTGAAATAAACAAATTATATGAAGTATAAAAAAATAACAATATACAGTTAATTTATTATAATATATAAATGATATAATTATGAATGTAATTCTGGTGTATTATAAAAATTTTAATTTAATAAATTGAATATGTTTTAGCTGATCAATTAGGGAAAAGGTACTTAAAAGTAACCGCTGTTCCTTCTTGCAATTTGCCGGTATCAACAATTGACACAAAAAAGTTTAAATTAAAATCAGATTCGAAAAGAGAGGAAAGAAAACTGATGCGCGAAAAAAAAAGTATAGAAATTACTAAAAGTCAATTTGAAAATAGTGTGACTAATTTGTCTGCAACCAAAACCAAAGGAAAGGATAATGGTAATATTGCCAATTATTTTGAAAACAATGCTGAAAATGTGCAAGAAAAAGAATTGGAAATTATAAATAAATCTTCTCTAGATAGTACAGATATTAATTCATCTGAAATCAAAGGCAAAGAAATTGAACCTGAAAATATTGCTATTGATAATTATGAAATCAACAATGTGAAAGCTATTCAAGAGAAAGGGTTGGGGATTAGAAATAAAT